CTGAAAATGATTTACGAAAACAGGAGTGTATAAGATTTATAATACTGCAAAAGTAAAGGTCAAAACTAAGGGAGAGGTTTGTTTGTATTTTGATATTTTTGGCAGCATTGGGGAACAAACCCAGAGCCTTATGTTTGCTAGGCAAGCATACTAAATGGAGCTACACATCCGACCTTGGACTTTTATCAGTAAGAACATAAAACTATTACATTATTGTCCTAAAGATGTTGTTTATTATTATAGCCATCAAACATGGCTAAATTGGAAACAAGTAATTTGTTTTATCGATTATCATCTAGACTTAAGGATAAAGACCTCATTTAAAAACAAACCTGAAGGAGAGGATTTCATAGGGGATTTTATAGAAGCAAAGTACTTGTTTAAATGACAGTATTTAAATGAAGGTTTGTTGTAATTAAGCAAGTTAGTTAGAGATTCAGAATGTATGTAAAAATCCAGGCTTTTGGTGCATAGGACATTAAATATCTGATCCTGAACATATCAGCCTTCTAAAATGCTTCTGTAATGCCAGGACCCTAGGACTTACTTGTAATTCGGAGACCTTCAGCAGAAACATTAACTATGTTACCTATAGATCTGATATGTAAAGCTTTTCATGAAGAAACATATCCTTCCCAACTTTTGGATGAATGAGGGCATCTGGGCCATATTACTGTTGCTTGAGCTCCAGTGTCTTGCGCAATGTTTGGAGAGACGACCTGTGTCTTATCTCACAAACATAATGTAAAATTATTTGTTAAGCCATGAATATTTTAATTTTAACTGCCTCAATTATTGATATTCCCTACATTAATGTTCAAGATTCATTCCTACATATTACTAATGTTGACAGGAATTTAAAATTTTCAAGTATAATTACCCCAAATCATCTGATATTCTCTTGAATTTTATGAAGATCTGAAAATAAGAAAAGAAAACCAAGTAAATACTGCGTGATAATCAAATAATGCAATAGAAACTCATGGTCTTGAAGAACTCAAGTGTATCAGGCTTCTTCTTAGTATATTAAAATGAAGTAAACATCCTAAAATTAATTTAATTCTAGGAAGGAAGAAGAGATTTTGTAAACAACGAAATAATGCCCTACATGAATGGATGCCTGAATATTTTGAAAGAGAGACTCCTCATGTTTTGGTAAGATTGGTAAAAACAATGTGTGTTAGTAAGTTAGTTGTAGAATTTAATAGCTCAGTCAGTATTCCTGAGTTAAGGATGGATTAAGGGCTTGTACCACTGGGTCACAGTGTCTGTTTTTCTCTTCCTTATGGAGAAACGACACCAGATAATGCTCACACGGTCTGTGGACTGCCTAATGAGCAGCTTCATACTTGGTACCTGATGTTTTTATTCATCAAAGATCAGAGTCAAAAGCTTACATTGTCCTGAGAAACAGTATCAAGCAGAAGTAGCTGTGAAGTGTACAGAAAGGCTGTAAGACAGCACAGGAAGTGTGAGGTCTTGGTTTGCTTCGGTCAAGGCACATGTGTCTCAGTGATCCAGTGTACTGTCCCTCACTGACGCTCTGTGGTCAGTATGAAGATCACATCATGAAGCCACCCGACTCGAGAAAGAATGTAAAGTTAGGAGAGGGCAGGTTTAGACATTACTCGTTCCATATTTTATTGAAGAGTTTGGGTCTTTGGTGAATTTTAAGTATTATCATTATGTCCACTCCATATTTCTTAGACAGTGCTGATTGGCCTGATGGATGCGTCTTTAAACCGGATAATGAACATAAAAACAAGAAACAGTTATTGCAACACGTGCAATGTGCATTCACACACAGGTGCAAGCGCACACACGAGACACGCATGCACCATGCAGGCCACGACAGACATCCAAGCCAGGGCTTCTTAATGCCTGGCAAGTGTTCCTTTCTCGGCAGTTGAAAGGTACTTTTGTTTAACAGAGCTGTACCTTAGTTTATTCTGAAATTCTGCCTGTCTCTAGACAATTTTTTATACTAAGCTTATATATCACCTTATAGGCATGTTTAATTTCTCTTGGGAGTGACTGATTTGACATCGCATTATTGGACTAGGTACTGGATTATTCAGAAGTGATGAGTATGATGTCTTATTTTATGTTGACAATGGCACATATTTTTTTGTTATATTGTTATAGGATGGCTTAGAGAAGAGTAAGTTAATACTCAAAATAAATGTTAACATTCTGTTAGAGTTAGGTTTCCTGACTTACACCAAAGTAAAGTATATTTAAAAAAATTGCCTAGCTGAATTTTTTTTGAATTATTATACCCATATTCAGGTTTTTCGCTCCTGAAAACAAAATAAAATTGAAAATGGCGTAGTGTTTTATTAAAGATGCATACATATGTGAATGTGAATGTCCTTTTATGTTTTCCTAAAAGTATTGTGCAATGAGCATTAGCGTGTGTTTTTAAAAGACATCATGACTACAAGCAAATTGGCAGAAAGTCAGTAACAATGGACTGCTGTTACTGGGAGCCTGCGACAGTGTTTATCTCTCTTCAGGTAGACAGAATTCAAATTGCCTTCATTAGCTGAGCAATGTGCTGTGGAGAATGAGCAAGGCACTTATCAAGAGGCTCTTTCATTTGCATATTTTTGCTGCAAAACCAAGTAGCAATGTTCTCTAGCTGCTTAAGAGCTATGGATGAGAGAAAGAAAACAGCCCAGGTAAGCAAGCCAGGGCATTTAAAGAAAAGACAGTTTATCATTAAATAGGTCAGAATTGTGCCTTATGTGAGCCCTGATACAAAATAGCAGTCTTATGGACTGTTAGGAACTCAGATGTAAAATGGCATGAATTCTTCTCACATCCACTAATACCACAAGTAAAGCTAGGGGCTGTTCTTATTATAAATGATCAATACTTCAGACTGACACCACCTAGCTGCCCTGCTCTTGCTTCTTAAGAGCCTGAATTTGAATTAAGCAGTAAATCATTATGGAATTATATTTTCAACTGCAAGTTAACATGCCCTTAATCCTTAGCAATTCTGAAACACTGTTATTTTGTAGAGTTGTTCCCCGGGCTTTCACAGAGCACAAATCTCTTACTAGAAAGGAAAAGATTTTTTTTTTTTTCAAAATGAATGAACAGATATCAAATAAATATATTGTTTAAGTTTGCTGAATGCTTATGTCAAAATAATTTTGTAAACACACTTGAAGTTACAGTGCGAATTATAAGTTAAGAAAATAGTTGGTGTTCTTAAATTTTTCAGTCAAACATGACTTGACCTAGCTGGAAAGTAATATGTCATACTATATTTGAGATTTTTTTCCACTGACACATTTCTTGGAAAACTCTTTAAATCAAATGAAACACATAAGCATTCATAGTACTGGGCCCACTCAAATTAATGTAAACATGTTCCTTTCCTATATAATCAAATCCTCATTTGGAAGTTTTAGTAAACTTGTTTATTTTTAAATGTTCTGTCTGCTACCTAGTGGAGCAGAGACCTAAAGTTTAGTGCTGCCTTTATTGAGGAGTTCAGCAATTTAAGAGAAAGTAGAGGCAGCTTGAAAGATGTACTCTTTGTGCAATATTTAGATGATTTAAATTTATGAGGCCACAAAACTAAATAAATGCAACTGCTAATACTCAACTATCTGCCAATATTTTATTATTAGAAACGGAGTGTTGTAAATGGCTTAAACATATTTTACACACAGCTTACATTGAAAATACTTGTACTTCCAAAGTTCACAGACTACAGCAGAAATTACACTGTGATGAAAAAAAAAATTTGGAGGCTATTTCAGATAATAATTGGTTAACCAACATTTAAATAATAATCTATTTAGCTCTAAAGCTCTGGCTTTTCATTCCTCCCCATAAAAATCTTTGACAAATCTCTTATTATCATCAAACAATAAGGCAACCCTAATTCAATACTACCAAATCCAAAACTATTCCCTCAAAAGACCTAGTTAGTATCACATATTTTATTGTGAAAATCACATAGATTTTTTTCGCCCTTTGAAACTCATGGTTAGTTTCAATGTAGTCCTCCCAAATTCACAATATTCATGACTTTCTAACTGCTACATATACTAAAAACATCAAGTTAATCAAAAAAAATCCACCCATCTTAAAAAAACAAACTTAATTCCATGACGAAGATTAACTCATGAAAGAGAAATTAAGAGTATGATTAGCTGAATAGTTGCCATTAAAGCGGTACGCCTTGAAGGAGAACATCACTTACAATAGTGAGGAAGAGAAATTGTTTAGGTATGGGAAATAAGAGTGATGGCTTTTAAGACGAAGGACTCATAGACTCTTTTGTTTGACAAAATTGATTTTTTAGCATAAAGTTTAAATATGCATTTGTTTATCAACAATAACTCATCCTTATAATAGATTTTCTGATTGCTACTCCGCTATTGTGCATCAAAACATATTGATAACAACTAGACACCTGACAAGTATGACTGGGGAAAAAAGAAAAACAACACAAGAAGTTGGCTTGTGAGAAAATACAGATGGTAACAAGATAATTAATCACATAGTCATGTCCTATTGGAAGGCCAATGAAATAGAAAAAAGACAAAAGATGAGGAGAAAAGGGTATACATAAGAAAGGTGATGGTAATATCAGGACTGAATATAATACAAAATACAGAGTACAGCATACTATAAATGTCAAACAGACTTATTTTCACATAGAAAGATGTCATACAGTGTGGTGCAGGTGATGAATAACTCATGATTAATGACAAACTATAAATTCTTTTAAGAAGTAATGACTTACAGAAAACAATGTAATTCAGTGTTCACGGGCATACATATTTCTTCAAGGAACACGGACATATCTATACATTGTAACAGTTCTGATCAAATTATTTTCCTAAAACATAAAAAGCCTCACACACTGATTTTATAGGTACTGTATAGACTCTCTACATTAAGTTTGTAAATTAGTAAATCATTTGAGCATCCTAAAATAGAAGATCATTAATCTTGGAAAGAAATTATGCACTTACCATCATGATTGGGATTTCCCAGTGTCCATGGCTCATCAGAATCAAAATGAGTATCTCCTCCAATTCCTGGTCCAGGGAAATAGGCATGTGCCAAAAATCCTCCCTCCCCATCAAAGGGGGAACTGTCTCCATGAAAACCGGATGCAAAAATGATGGTTATATCCACATCACGTTTGCCGTTTTCTAGTTCACTGTAGGGAACTTCTTCAAACGTTAGTGGAGTTACATTCTGCCACACATCAAAGGCACGGCGAATTGCTCTCCGGGTCTCAGGGTCGCCAACTTTTGGTGTTACGTTCTTTATACTGAAAGTTGGGAAAGAAAATGATCAGTATGGCTTCGTATATGCAATTTGAATTACTGCAAAATGTTGTAACTCCTTACCTGAAAATTATCAGAAATAACGACTGTATTATACAGAAATAAATGTATTCACTTATTTTAACATCATAGATACTGCTCATTACACTCCCAGGTGCCAAGGCTACCTGGGAGAAGACTTGTGCAGAATGGTTAGGGAGAGGGAGAAAGATAATCAGTTTTTCTCTGGGACAAGAACAGGACGGAGGACTGGATCAGTGATCAAGCAGGTACGGCGGCTTTGAGCAGAAACAGAAGCACCAATTTCCTCCGTTATTTCCATTAGATAAAGGCACACTGCTGTAATAATGCAATAGAATAATAATGTATCTATGCGTATATCTAGGAAAACCGATTCGGCAGCAGGAAGCAAGTTTTTTGTTTTTTTTTTTTTAAGCAAAATACCCAATTATTGTGCTGTCTGATAATCTACGCTGCTTAACTAAGACTTTCTTGCTAAGAAAAAAAAAGTGTATGGAATCTTACTGAAGAAGGGAAAGATAGAAAGACATGGAGGGGACAGGAGCTCCACAAGGATACCAACAGAGCCAAAAAATCAGGGCCCAAGAGGTCCTGCAGAAACTGATGAATCAACCAAAGACCATGCATGGAGAGAACCTACAACCCCAGCTCAGATGTAGCCCATGGCAGCTCAGTCATCACATGGATTCCCTACAAAAGGCAGCAGGGGCAGTCACTGGCATGAACTCCATTGCCTGCTCTTTGCACCTCCCCCTGAAGGGGAGGCCCTATAAAGCCACAGAAAAAGGGGATCCCTGACAGTCCTGGTGAAACCTGATAGGCTAGGGCCAGATAGTTGGGGAGGAGGACCTCCCCTGTCAATGGAATAGGGAAAGAACATAGTGGGGAAAGAGGGAGGGAGAGTGGGACCAGAAGAAGATGAGGAGTAGACAACAGCAAAGATTCAAAGTGAATAAATTGTAATAAATAATAATAAAGAAAAAATAATTAAAAAGTTAAAAAAACTGTAAATAAATGGCTATTTACTACAAAAGTTTACAAATTTTGTGAATTTAAAATAAGCCAGAAAAAAAATAGAACCTGGACATTATTAGCTTCACCTTTTTTTTTGACATTAATGCATTCTGATGAAGAAAAATTGTTATTTTTATTCATTTAACACTAATCATATACATATATAATCATAACCATATATATTTCCTGAAATTTTACTTAAAATCCAACATTAACAGAACAAGCATACACTGAACTGAATACGCTTTGCGATAGTGTCATCAAAGAGAATTAGGAGAACTGCAGTTTGCAGTGCTAGAGTGATACAGCCAAATCACTGTGTCTAAAGTCAATTACAGTGTTTCTATAGGACTAAAGTTCATTTTTACTTACCAGATCTAATTCTCAATATGAAAAACATTTGAAGTGTTCTTTCTAGTAAAAAGCTAGCATTCTGATTCTATATAACAAAGTTGCATATAATATTTGAACATTATGAGTGCTACAAGCATTCAATATACAGTATTTATTCCCACAAGCAGTGCATGGAGTTGAGGATTCATACCAACCTCAAAGAATGTTACAATTCTCACAAATATAAAGGAAGTTTTCCTATGGCAGGAATGAGAATTTCCAACCTGAATTTTCCAAAGCATTCTAAGAGAGTCCATTGTCTTGGGATATAATATCTTGGAGTCCCATACGTCTAAAAGTAAGATTTCTATTCCTTTATAATAAATAGGCCAGGTATTATTTACATTTTGACATGTTGATGAAAACTAAGTATTTCATATAAAATGGCAACAGGTGAGGAGAGTGTAAAAGTCCTTAGGGTGATGTTCCAGCTGAGATGTTCCAAGAGCCACAAAGTAGCTGCTGTAGTCTGTGCAGCAAGACAGAGGGTATTAGTTTTTATTCTTATTGTTTCTTTGCTGCAATTTTCTTAATTTTTCTCATGACTGAGATGAATATTAACTTTTGGGGACAAATCTCTAGCCCTTAGTGTTGACAGCATTAAATTTTTTGGATGTTTGTTTTGTCCACAATAATAATAATAATAAAAGTATTGTTTAATAACAAAATTATTAAATGTATTCACTTTATACCCTGATTGTAGCCCCTTCCCTCATCTCTTCTTTGCCCCAGGTCCCATCCTTCCTCCATTTTCTCCACACACCTTCACCCATAGTACACTGAAAGGGGGAACCTCCTCCCATACTATCTAACCCTAGACTCTCAACTCTCAGCAAGACCCCCTGGATCCATTTCCTCTCTGCCTTGGCAAGTCACCCTGCCAGGGGGTAGTGATCAAAGAGCAGGCAACCAAGTTCCTGTCAGAAACAGCTTCTGCTCCCTTTAGCAGGGAACCCACATGGAGACCGAGCTGCCTGGAACTGGCAACAAAAGAATATCTAATTACAGAGAAACACTTAAGGAAATGTTCAAGGAGCTTAGTCATCGGGGAAATGTAAATCAAAATAAATCTGAGATTACATCTTATATTCATCAGGATGGCTAAGATCAAAACTCACTTGACAATATTTGCTGGGGAACCCTGAACCATTGCTGGTGGGAATGTAAACTGGTACAGCCACTTAGAAAATCAATCTGGCACTTTCTCAGAAAAATAGGAATAGTGCTACTTCAAGATACATCTCTACCATTCCTAGGCACATATCCAAAAAATGTTCAACGATGCAACAAGGACACTTGCTTAATTTGTAACAGCCAGAATCTGGAAACAACCCAGATGTCCCTCAACGGAGGAATGGATTCAAAAATTGTTGTACATTTACACAATGGAATACTACTCATCAATTAAAAACAAGGAAATCAAGAGATTTGCAGGTAAATAGATAGAACGTGAAAAGATCATCATCAGTGGGGTAACCCAGAACCAGAAAAAAACACTCATGGTAAATATTACCTTTGCCCTTAATTTTTAAGTATTATATTTTTTTATCAATGCCCCTCTTTTACATCTATTTAAAAGTTAATTAATTTGCATTTTTCTGCATGTAGACATCCAGTTAAACCAGATCCATATTTATCACCCTGCACAAAACTAAAGTCCAAGTGGATCAAATGGCTCAACATAAAACCAGGCACACTAAACCTTTTAGAAGAAAATGTGGTTAAGAGCCTGGAACTCATTAGCACAGGAGACAACTACATGAACAAGACACCAACAACTCAGGCTCTAAGATCAACAATCAATAAATGGGACCTCATAAAACTGAGAAGCTTCTGTAGGCAAAGGACACTGTCATCAGAACAAAATGATAGCCTACAGACTGGGAAAGCATCTTCAACAACCCTATAGCTGACAAAGGCCTAATATACAGAACACATAAAGAATTTAAGAAGTTAAATACCAACAAACTAAGTAATCAGATTAAAAAATGGGGTACACAGGTAAACAGAATTATCAATAGAGGAATATTGAATGGCAGAGAAACCCTTCAATGTTCAATATCCTTAGTCATCGGAGAAATGCAAATCAAAACGACCCTGAGATTTCACCTCACACCCATCAGAATAGCTTAGATCAAAAAGTCAAGTGACAATACTTGCTGGAGAGAATGTAGAGAAAAGGAACCCTCCTCCATTGTTGGTGGGAATGTAAACTTGTACAACTATTTTGGAAATCAACATGGTGCTTTCTCATAAAATTAGAAATATTGCTACCTCAAGATCCAGCCATACCATTCCTAGGCATATATCCAAAAGATGCTCAAGTATTCAACAAGGACATTTGCTTAACCATGTTCGTAGCAGTTCTATTCATAATAGTGCCAAGATAGAAATAACATAGATGTCCCTCAAAGGAGCAATAGAAACAAAAAGTGTGGTACATTTACACAATGAATATGACTCAGCAATTAAACACAAGGAAATCATGAAATTTGCAGGCAAATGGTGGGATCTAGAAAAGATCATCTTTTTTATTAAATATTTATTTTTTGTATTAATTACCATTTATTCACTTTGTATACCAGCTGTAGCTTCATTCTTCATTCCCGCCCAATCTCACTGTCCCTCCCTCATCTCCTCCCATGCCACTCTCCATTTCTACTCATAGGGGATGTTCTCCTACCCTTCCATCTGGCCCTAGCTTATCAGATCTAATCAGGGCTGGCTGCATTGTCCTCCTCTGTGGCCTGGCAAGGCTGCACCCTGAAAAGATCATCTTGAGTGAAGTAACCCAGAAACAGAAAGACACACATGATGTACACTCACTCATAAGTGATTACTAGACATATAATATAGGCTAAACATACTAAAATCTATGCTCCTAAAAAAGCTAAACAACAAGGAAGACCCTAGAGAAGATGCTCAATCCTCATTTAGAGGGGCAAATGTGATAGATATCGGAAGCAGGAGAAGACAGAGATCAGGACAGGAGCCTACCACAGATGGCCTCTGAAAGACTCTACTGATTAAGGTATTGAAGCAAAGGCTGAGACTCACCGCCAAACTTTGAGCAGAATGCATGGAAATTTATGACAAAATGGGGAGAAAGACCTGGAGGAGACAGTAGCTCCAAAAGCAGACCAACAGAGCCAAAACAAAACAAAACAAAACAAAACAAACAAACAAACAAAAAACTGGGCCCTGGGATCCCTGAAGAGACTGATACCAACCAAGGACCAAGCAGAGAGAGGACCTAAACCTCTGCTCAGATATAGGCCATATAATCAGTCTCCAAGTTGGGTCCATCATAAGGGGAGCAAAGGTTGTCTCTGGCATGAACTCAGTGGCAGGTTCTCTGATCACCTCCCCCTGAAGGGTGAAGCCTTACCAGGCCACAGGGGAAGACAAGCAACCAGTCCTGATTAGACCTGATAGACCTGATAGTTGGGGGGGGGGGGCTGCCCCTATCAGTGGACTAGAGGAAGGGCATAGGAGGAGAAGAGGGAAAGAGGGTGGGTTTGGGAGGAGATGAGGGAGGGGGCCACAGCTTGGTTCC